CAGGCATTTATTGAGTTACGTCACAGAGCTCCTGATGGCAGGCCGAGACTTCCTTTTAATCCTTCTGCTACAAATGTTATGGATGCGACAGCATCTCATCAGCGACATGCCGGGTTTATACCCAGGCAGGAGTTTCCAGGCCCAAGGCAGGCAGAACCACTGAGACATAGTTCTCAAGGTATGTCTAGCCAGTTGCAGATGTCTACAAGTTTGGAGCATATGTCACAGTCCCAGCAAGATCAAATCAGTCCTGACAACCCACCTGCACTTGTAATACGTTCTCTGAGTCATCCACCAGTTGCTGATGCTTTCCCAGGACCGTCTTTGCCTACATCTGCACCAAGCGAAGAATCTGCAAATTTACAGATTCCCAACCAGCCAACGGATGGTCTAGAAGAAAAGCTTGATCCTGATGATCCTGCTGTAAAAGATTTAGATGTGAAAGACCTTGATGGGGTTGAAGTCAAGGATTTAGACGATGAGGATCTGGAAAACTTGAACCTAGACACAGAGGATGGAAAAGGAGATGAATTAGATACCTTAGACAATTTGGAAACGAATGATCCTCACCTTGATGACCTTCTAAGATCAGGAGAATTTGATATAATTGCATACACAGACCCAGAACTTGATCTGGGGGATAAGAAAGGAATGTTTAATGAAGAACTAGATCTTGGTGTCCCCATTGATGACAAGTTAGATATCCAGGGCAAGACAGAAGAACCCAAACAGAAAGAACAAGGTGATAGAATTGTTGCCCCTTCTGAGACTCTGTCCCCACAGAAGAAATCAGCTACAGAAAGTGAAATTAAAACAGAAGTACTTTCTCCAAACACTCACGAGGAGAAGAAGAGTGAAAATGAAAAAAGTGATGGAAATGCTGAATCTGCAAGTACTCAACAGGCTGCTGAAGTGGAGTTAAAGGATGGAGAAAAGGCTTCTGTGCAGCCTGCAAACCCAGAATTCCCTGACAAAACTACTGTTGTTCCTAATCAGGAAACAACTGTACCTAGTTCGGATGCTCAGGGGTCTGCTCCACTGCCTGTTCAAGGAGCAGCAAGTTCCTGCAGTATTTCGGGATCCACACCAGTCCTCTCAAGTTTGCTAGCTAACGAAAGCTCAGATAACGCTGAGGCAAGGACAATAGGATCTCCGTCTCAATCTTTGCCAGAAACGCAAATGAACCATTCGTCAGGTATTCAACAAACACTAATGACACCTGGTGGACAGATCTTGGAAAACACTTTAAATACAAATTTGGCCATGGTTCCGCGAATAAACCATAATTTTTCTCAAGGGTCACCAAATCCGGGATTTATGCAGGGTCAGTCAGCTAATCATAACTTTGGGCCAGGACAAACTTCTAATCAAACTATGGCTGTAGCAAACCGTCCTGGTCCTAGTGGCATATCTGGCCCGCAACAGATAATGCTCCCTCAGCCATTAGCTCAGCAACAAAATCGAGAGAGACCACTCCTGCTAGAGGAGCAGCCGCTCCTTCTGCAGGATCTTTTGGATCAAGAAAGGCAAGAGCAGCAGCAGCAGCGACAGATGCAAGCCATGATTCGCCAACGTTCGGAGCCGTTTTTCCCCAATATTGGTATGTAGGTGATCTGTTTGTGTGCGTGATGGTTAATTGTTTAAAAAAAAAAAAAATAAACGCTAAATAATATGTAGCACCAAAAGAAGCATATAGCTGTTCAGACTCTGAAGTTGGCCTAACAAAAAGCAGCCTGACTAGTAGGTATAATGGAAGTCTGGGAATTGAGCATGTAGGTAGAGTTCTGAGCTCTGTGGCAAAGCCCCTCTTGACTTCATTTTGATCAGGATAATGCTGTTTTACTGCCAAATTTCTCTGACATTAGCCCTGACATGTACTCTCTTTATGCTTCAGTTTCTCATTTGTGAAATGGAGTAAAATGCAGCCTTTGTAAACAATGAGATGAAGAAGTGCAGTAGCTGACCTTCAGATATTTGACCTATTCATTTTCAGTTTATGGTTGTTTTATCACAATGTTTTGCAGAGTTCAAAGTGTCTCAAGGAAAGGGACTGTTGAAAGCTGTATGATTAACTTGCATGAAAGCCAGGCAAGGCGCAAAGCTTCACAAATAATTCTGCGCATACTAAAAGCATTTAAGATAAACGGTCCTTGCCTGTTTCATGTAACATAGCTGATGGGGAATTAAGATTGAGAACATCATTGTGCTGTCATTCGATTGTTATTAATAAAATAACGAAAATTTTAGAAATGCGTTAGTTCTAACTACGCTGGCCATCAAGTCTGTTTGTAAGACAGAGCTAGCCCACCCCAAAGTGGCAATTCGTATCCGCAGTGTGGCTTGAACGCCCTCCCCGTGAGGAACGTCAGTCGTGTTTGTTCCACTCGGCATGGGGCAACCGAACGGACGGACAGAAGGCGGGACAGAGGCATAGATCACTGTGCTTGTCATCCTTTCAGATGCTCCCAAGTGATGTGTGCCTTCCTGGTGGTAGTACTACCAATAATTACAAAGCAACTTAACAGGTTTCCTTAGTATATGTTAGTGGTATTGTGTCAATATAGCCAACTAAACTCACAGAAACCGGTCGTCTTCCTGATTCTTAGACTTATAAATAGAATTCTGTATTCTAAATCTGTTGGGTCATAGATCGGATATGGTCTAAGCCCGTCTCAAACCAGTCTACTGTTCCTTTGTGTGTCTTGGCTGAGAACAAGAATTTTTTCTTTTTGTCACAAGAGGCGTTGTGCATCTTATATCCAAGGTAGTTGCTGCTGGATTATTTTTTCTTAAGAGGATACATGAACCTACGTTATTAACCATTAATTTCAAAGCAGAGAGAACAGATATATTTGGAACAGTTAAGCAGTTGCATTGTTTTACTGATAATTTATGCATAAACGAGATCTGAACAAGTCAGTTCTAGTTAAAGTCATGTAATATTGAGCTATGTAATTGACTTGTACTGTTTTTTCCTTTATAGACTTTGATGCAATTACTGATCCTATAATGAAAGCAAAAATGGTAGCTCTTAAGGGGATCAATAAAGTAATGGCACAGAGTAACATGGGGATGCCACCAATGGTCATGAACAGGTAGGCAAAGCTTGATTCTATTCTTTAGGCCTACAAAATATAAAAGGAAACAATAGTGCTAGGAGGAACTGTGCACTGAAAATGAAAAAATTTAAAAGTGGGGAAGGATCTATTTGTTGTGTAGTTCATATAGTCCATGTTAATGCCGGATCATTTCCTAAGAAGAAAACCCTTGTGACAGTAGAAACAGTAGAAAGGATTAAAACTTGTTAGATCTCTGTTCCGATTATAATATCGTTGGTCTACTCAATAAACATGGCTTCCCTCTTGATTTCCGTTGTGGTTTCCCATTTACTAATTATGTAGTGGCACATCTCCTGCGCATTGTGTTTGAAAACTGTTGAGGGCCGTGTAGCAGTTAATCTTCATGCTGCAGGACAGTGTTCAATGCTGTGTACAATTTAAATTTAGCCCAAGTAACCGTTTTCATCGTCTCTCTAAATCAGTTCTGTGGACAAAAGGAGGTAACTATGAGTTGTGCAGACTTCACTATGACCGTCTTTACCAGAAGTAGGGAATATATTGGCCTGATACGGTCTGCAACTTTTTTTTCCTATGGTCCTTAAAACAGTACGCTTCCTTTTCCCCTTGTCAACATGTACGTCAGTGCTATCTGGTAGTATGTGGCTTTCCAAAGGTGCTTGGAAGGCTTATTTGATCTTGATAAGAAGATTTTGCACCCCAACCCATTTATTACAGCTTCCAGTATGGTATATTGCTGCAGCCTAATCTGGGTGACCTGCAACAGCACAAGATTCTAACTGCTCAGATACTCGTTGGGTACCTTATGTACCCTGGTTTATCCTTCTGTTTCTAGATGCAATAAGATGATTTTTTTTGTTTTAAATCTGTGCTCTATTACCATTCCATATAAAAATTTGCATTCTTCTACGCCGTTATCGTAGACTAAGATCTTCTGAATTGCGTTTGGTTTTGCTTTGTGAAGTTACGTTGTCTGAGAACAGTTACAGGGGCTTGTTTAAACTGTTTCTGAAACCCAAGCACATCTACCTTACTGCAGGAACTGTGTTGCCGTGATATCTAAACACATTAAATCTAATGTTTTATCGTTATAAAATGTAAATATATATGTTTCTTATGTCATTTTTATTTAGTTTGCACCCATGCATCTTCACTATTAGTAAAATACCACGTGTACTAATTTTACTACAATATATGATGTTTAGTTCATCTCTTTGAAGAGTATGAAATGCAATAGTTTAAATTTAGAGCAGAGTGTCAAATGAGAAATAGTATTTTCCAGACTTTGGAAAAGTTTGGTGTAGAGCTTCAAGCAAATATCTATAAATATCTGGACAGTTTGTTTAGGTTTAATATAGTACAAACCGTAGTCTCTCTTCTAAAATACCCACCAATTTTAAAGTTACAATTTCACCTTCTGTTTATGTATCAATAGGTTTCCCTTTATGGGGCAGCCAGTGCCGGGGGCTCAGACCAATGAAGGCCAAAGTCATATGCAGCAAGTAACCACACAGGTAGTACAACTTGATAGGAAATACACAGCAGAAGTGCCTGATAAAGATAACTAGTTTGTTTGTTTCTAATAGAATCATAATTTAATTTCCTTGTCTGTGTATTTTTCTGAAATTTCTAGGATGGAAATTTGACACCTCAGATTTCTAGGCCTAATCCTCCAAATTTTGGTCCTGGTTTTGTCAGTAAGTACAGCTGTTTCTTTCCAAAAATATTTTCTTAGCTTGACTAATTCATCTTTCTGAAATTGCACCATTTCATCATTATGATACCAGTTCATAAAAGGGCACATAGTAAATGATATTAACAATTTGTCTGGAAAAGTGTCCTCAAAGAAATACCGTAAGGAAAGAGGGAAGAAGAACAAAGCTGAGTTTTCTGGTCTTAATCACAAAGAGTAATAAAATAATTAGCATCATTTGGATTTGTGTGAGGATAGTAATTGTATGTATTATTTGACAGACTGCTATCTCAAGAATGTCGTGTTTTGTTAAGTTGTAGTATTCTGAGCTCAGTGAGAATAACAGCCTACATTGATAGCTTATTTTTTATCTGAGAAGCAAAAAGTTTTGTGTAGCATGATTGTCAGTTTAAAAAATATGAATAAAAGCCTTTCGGGTTTTAGTTAAGCAAGACTGACTGGGAACCACAGCTGGTGAAAACAAATACATGTGGCACTAGTATTTTGCATTCCTTACATCCACTTGCACTAGGTTATTTGTAGATCTTAGTCTCTACAGTAAGAAGTAGATTTGTTAGCAGAACTTTATACTAAGCGTATGATGGGGGAGGAAGACCACATGAGAAAAAGTGCTTCTGTTACTGCAAAAGCTTTTCTTAGTATTTGCTAATAGAAACAGAAGTTAACACTTTTTACCTTTTCCAGAGACTGGAGTAGGAGTGCTAAAAGGCAATGAGAAGCTTTAGTAATGTTTTATGTATTAATTTCTAGTAAGATTTTAAATGACCCTCAACAGTGGTCAGGCACTGGTGAAGGGAGAATTGGAGATGGTTCTGAGCGCTTCAGGAAGTCTTTTTTTTTTTTCGTTGCAGTAGCAGTTTATTCTTATCTGGAACTAGTTAATATTTCAGTACTTTCATTTGCGCTTTCAGATTTCTCCCATCTCCAGTTATTCTCCATTTCCACTCAGTTGTCACTTCAGGTTATATGATTAGTTTCACAGAATTTATCATTGGAAGAAGCAGTGCCCCTTGAGACTGTAGCTAGCTCTGTGAATTGATTTAGCAGAGCTGTTAGATTCAGTGACCATCTCTGCAGCAGTGACAACGTAGAACGTGGTGGGGACTGGAGCACAAGGAAGACGTGGGTTGTACTGAAATCATATGTCACCTGGTTAACTTGATTCTTTATATGAGATAAACATGCTTTATAAGGGGAATTCTATGCCTGATTCCTGGTCATCCACTTTATTGTCTCAATGTTACCATGAGACAAGTGATATCGTCACCGAGCCTTGTCGCTTGCTTTCTGGGCTTAGTGCAGGTAAGTATTATTGAACATGATTGTTTTGCCTCCAGGAAAAATATCTGAGAACAGTGGATTACTCAGTCATGAGCCTGAGAGCAGATCAGCGTTCCTCATTTGTCAGAAGAATAATGTCACAGTTATAGTCTATGTGAGAATGCGTTGATTTGCGGGAAGGAAGAAGCATTGGAGGCCGAATGCCCTCTGATGAGAACCAAGAGAAAGTTACCTATACACAGAAGACGAGTTGTAAAAAGCTTATTTTTTCAGTTCGTTTTCTTGCAGTGACTTTGACTTGTAGGGTAGTTTGTATTTTAATTCGTAATTCTGAAAACGATTAATCAGAAATGTCTACTGTGGTCAAAAAGAGAGTAGTTTGATGTGTTTTTAGAAGACGTAAGAGAAATAGATTTAAATGTACAAAACTGTTCTTTGAGCACCAGAATTGATTAGGTCACATCTGTAAATTTGTGTCTTTTAATCTCTTGCCCTCCCCCCAGGTACTTTCGCATTCCCTGTTCTGTGGCACAGCAGGGTACCAATGGGTTCTGTACCTGGTTTCAAAGCCGGGTGTACTGACTGGCTAGCAAGTGCACGTTTTGCTGACTAGATAGTTGGCAAGCATCTCTCAAAATTGAAGGACTGAGTTAAAACTGCTTTCTCTCAATAAAGGCAATAAATTGGATCTCTTTCTCCTTTACTCAAATCACTCTTAAGAACTTCATGTCTCTGAGAGCTCAGCTCCTCAGTTAAATTTGGCTGCACTTGACCAACAGGCTCACAAAATAAGAGGGGAGCCTTACTATTAAATTGCAACTTTAAAAGCTAGATTCTACAGGATGAGATCATATCATGCGTTATTTCCCCTGTCTCTAGATGATTCACAAAGAAAGCAATATGAGGAATGGCTGCAAGAAACACAACAACTTCTTCAAATGCAGCAAAAGTACCTTGAGGAACAAATTGGAGCACACAGAAAATCGAAAAAAGCGCTCTCAGCAAAGCAGCGTACAGCCAAGAAAGCTGGCCGCGAGTTCCCGGAAGAAGATGCAGAACAGCTTAAACATGTAACTGAGCAGCAAAGTATGGTACAAAAACAGCTAGAACAGGTAATCATGTGGAAGACAAGCTAATCCCCTTAATATTGAGCTCTCATACTGGTAAATCTTGTAAATCTGTTAAAATATTAATTGAAATAGTTAAATGCAGTGGAGCTTACTTAAAGGGAACCACACTTTATCATATTTTGTGTGTGTGGCAGCATTGCTTCAGATTGTGAGTGACACAGGAGCTGTAGGAGAAGATGCTACAACAAAAGTTATGGCAAAAAGCTGTTTTACTTTGAGAAGAGGGGAAATTGTTTAGCAGAATGATCTGCAACAGAGTTCCTGGTGCTATGAAGAGCATAAATGAAAGATTCAGATTGTGGAGGAGGAATTTCTTACCGCGTAGGGTTCTGTTTCAAGCTTGAATGAATCTCCTAACAGGCTTTTTCAGATGTCCTCATTTAATCAGAACTTCTTGGTTGTATGCCAGTTAACTGTTGCTGTTCGAAAATCTCTTTTCGTTGTAACTCTAACGTTAGTGGAGTTTATGATTTATCTTGTTCCTAGACACTTATTATCACAGCATTATCTGTTACCATATCATGGAATAGCGTAGGTTGGAAGGGATATCTGGAGATCATCTAGTCCAGCCTCCTGATCAAAGCAGAACTAGCTTCGCAGATCGGGTTGCTCAGGGCCTCGTCCAGTCAAGTTTTGAAAGTCTCCCAAGAGCAGAGATTTTCCAGGCTCTCTGGGCCTCTGTTGCAGAGCGTAATCACTTTTCACTGTGTGAGGCTTTTTTTCTTCCTGTGTTCAGTTGGAATTTCACTTGCTGCATCTTGTAACCATGACTGTAGTAACTGAGGTTAAAGTTAAGTCTGTGATTGTTTTGATAAACGTATGGTTTGGCCAACAGTATTGAGTGCTATTTTCCTCAAGGTGTAATTTATATATTGTCTGGCATGATGCCTCCTTATTGTATGGGTGGGGAATCTTTTCATTGTCAGGAACAAATAGACCTGCCAAATACTAAAATATTTTAAGAGTTTTCCTTTATTAAGGTGAGGGGAAAATTTGGCAGCAGGCTCCATGGACTGAAGTCATTAGTGGTACGCGACCTTCAGGCTCTTGCTCCTGTGGTGCCTCAGGAGTATGCACTGGATGGAATATTTGTTGGCTTGTCTCTTCACTATGTAGAAGAGAGGTGATGCAGATAAATTATGTCTACGTCATTTCTTCCTTTTTCTTTCCTTTCCACAATAAATCATGAGTAGAACAAATACAAAAATACTCCGTTTAACCAGTCTCTATTGTGTGTGTATATATATATATATTTCACTCCAGACTTAAACTGCAGTTATGTCAAAGTAACAGCTCTTGTCATGACACTGCTGGCAGATTCGTGTTGTGCCCCATAATTAAGTTGCTTTTATTTTTCATTTTTTAAACTTTGAGTTTCATGTACTGCTGGAAAACGCCTTCCACTCCCATTCAAGCCCTGATTTAGACCGGTAGTCTGTGTCCTAGACTGTACTTTGTTATGTGCCTACATGGAACTTAAATAAGCTTTATGTTAAAGTGTATTTTTAAGGACGTTCTATTTGAAGGCGTTTACCGTGTTCTTCTCCTGCAGTCAAGCTTCTGTTAGTTTTTAAAAAGGACAAACGATATATATATAGAGAGAGAGAGAGCGAGCGAGAGCGAGAGAGAGAAGCTTTCAAGTTACTGTGAGTTGTTGGACCTAATCACAGGTGCAGGGAAACTGGAGTTGAGTTTGTGCAAAGTGAGCTTATGTCTGACAGGGTTATTAGCTCCGGCACAGAGCCATGCAGACACTACCATACTGTTTCCATAGCCAGGGCAGTGTAACTGCTCAGGATGGCGTAGCGCCTGTGCTAACAAGCCCTGCAGGCCAAACCCTCTGCTTCGTTCTCCCCTGCTCTGTTAGAGCCACCAGGTCGATCTGCATAGTTTCAGCTCGGGTCCAGCTGTGTGTATTCAGTGCTGCTCCTGTGAGATCGCAGCTAATTCCAAGGTCAGTCACGTGGCTGCTTGCCGCTGCAGATCCTAGGAGGACGTGCTGGTTTGGGTGCCTCATTGCATAAACATGCAGAGCCACCACGGATTTAGGGCTGTACACCACCTGAGAACTCCTGGAGCACAGGACAGTGCAGTGCAGATACATCCAGTCAGTGGCTCTGTGCAGTGGTAGTGTTTTCGTGGCAAGTACCAGTGCCAAACCAGAGCTCGTAAATCATTTCCAACCTGAGGTGACGCTGTAAATAACCTTTTGGGTGCACCTGCTCTGCGTTCTGAAGAGGTCCCTGTAGCATCTCTGTTGTTCTGACCTTTCTAGCTTAACCCTAGCTCCAGGTAAAGGAGAGTGCTATCAGACATTTTTAATTATGTTACGGACTTTTCACATCAGTGCAAACAGAAGTTGCAGAAGTCATAATCTAGTAAATAGAGAGAGAGAGATTTTCCGTATTCTATGCATTAGTAACCAGTGTATTGCAAGTACTTTTAATTTTTTTAGAGGGAAATGAGTTAGGTATCTATCATATTTCTGAAATACTCTCTGTTAGCCTGGTGAAGACACTGGTGACACTGTCATATCCCTCCGCTGGCTTCTCCTATTTGCATTAAAAATAAGCTGTTAGCCTTTACTTTTAACGTCCACATCCAGTTGATTTTCATCCTAAAATTTAAAACATCAAAGCAGCGTCTTGTTGCTTTTTATTCCCCTGCTGTGTGATGTTCAGGGGATCTGCCTGTGAATAAATGTGAGTGTACCTCATTGTTTTTCTGTAAACTTTTCAGTTTCAGCTTTTAAAAATCGTAGCTGGTGCGTGAAGATCATTCATCTCGTCGTTTCCCTGTATTCCTTTTTCCCGTCTGTTCCCAACTCTTGCTGTTCTGTACATGGATGTTAAGGTTATTAGGGCAAGGATCAATTTCACATTTTGTATAATTTCTGGCGCCATGTGGTCTTGGTACGTAGCTGGGACTTCTGAGTGCTGTGGTAACGCTATTTTCGGTGACAGTAACGAAGTCATCAGTTTTTTTGGTACAATTTGGGGATGGATTGTATTTCGAATCAAATCATGCCCATTTAACCTTAAAAAGGGAGAGAAAATAAGATTGCACAGAAATGCTAATTTTGCGTGAGTTTCATTTTCTGCTGAAAGTATAATGCTGAATTACATGTTTTATGCCACCTCTGCAGTCAGTACATGTCAGAGACGAGTAATGAATTTTGTAATTTTCAGATTCGAAAACAACAGAAAGAACATGCAGAACTAATTGAGGAATATCGAATCAAGCAGCAGCAGCAGCAGCAGTGCGGGATGGCACCCCATGCTATAATGCCAGGAGTCCAGGCCCAAACACCAATGGTTCCAGGAGGAACATCACCAGCAATGAATCAGCAGAACTTTCCCATGGTGGCACAACAGCTCCAGCATCAGCAACACGCAGTGGTAATCCCTGGGCAATCCAACCCAACCAGAATGCCAAATATATCGGGATGGCAATCTGCAAATGCCCCGACGAGTCATATTGCCATTAGCCCAGCAAGGATGCAGCCTCCCATGACGCCATTGCCAATTACTCCTGCTACACCAGCTCCTGTGCCTGGTCCTAATGCAGCTGCACAGTCAGGGCCACCACCAAGGGTGGAGTTTGATGACAATAACCCCTTCAGCGAAAGTTTCCAAGAGCGGGAAAGAAAGGAGCGTTTACGAGAGCAACAGGAGCGGCAGCGCATTCAGCTTATGCAGGAGGTGGATCGACAGCGGGCTTTACAGCAGAGAATGGAACTAGAACAACACGGTATGATAGGGTCCGAATTAAATAACAGAACGTCCTTATCCCAGATACCTTTCTTTAATTCTGATCTACCTTGTGATTTCATACAAACTCCAAGACCTCTTCAGCAGTCTCCACAGCATCAGCAGCAACAAATGGGACAGATTCTGCAACAAGGTCCTGTGAACTCACCTCCTGCCACGACCTTTATGCAAAGCAGTGAGCGAAGACCAGTGGGGGCTGCAACTTTTGGACCTGATGCCTCTGCTGTTCCAGGTGGAGCCCCTAGTTTTCATACCGTTAAACAAACTCACGGAAATCTCCCTGGGGCCACCTTCACACAGAACCAAGTCAGGCCCCCAGTTGCTCCTCCTGTACCTTCATCTGCAGTACTTGGTAGTGGTCCGTCATGTGCTTCAGACACAAGCATGCCCCAGGCAACAAATTTCCCTGGATCAAGCCAGTCTCTCATACAGCTGTATTCTGACATAATCCCGGAAGAGAAAGGAAAAAAGAAAAGGACTCGAAAAAAGAAAAAGGATGACGATGCTGAGTCAATAAAAGCCCCATCAACTCCACATTCAGATATAACTGCACCATCAACTCCAACCATTTCTGATTCTACCTCTACCCCCGCAGTTAATACCCCCAATGAACTTTCACGTCATCAAGATGAGCAAGAGTCAGTGGAGTTAACAGGCCCATCAACATCAAATGGAGCAGAGGGCCGGACCTCTCCCGAGCTGGAATGTAAGCTCCCCAGTAGTAGTTTGCCGCAGAAGCAGCTGACTGTAAATACAGAGACTGAAAAGGCTACAACAGATGCACCTACTAGCATACAAGAAGTTAAACTAGAAAAGGCAGAAACTGATCAATGCGTGGGTCAAGCTGAGCCTAAAACAGAAAATCCAAGCAGCATTAAGGTGGAAGAAGATAAGGTCACCTCACATCCTGCCTCTTCAGCTCAGAGTCCAACGCAGCCAGCTAGCATCCCAGCAGCAAAAGGGGAGTCAGGGAATGAATTGCTGAAACACCTGCTTAAGAATAAAAAATCCTCATCTCTTCTAAATCAGAAATCGGAGAACAGCTGCCGAGCAGAAGAAGAGAGTGCTGGAGATAAGAAGTTACCAGAGAAGCAGAATCCAACTGAAGGAATGGTGAGCCTATTAGTGGTTTTGTTGTGCAGTGGTTATCAACACTCAAAGATTAGTTTGCACCATCACCACAATCATTTGTGAAAAGGCGAGGAGATAACCTGCCTGCGCAAGGGTGGAGTAAAACAGCTGTAAGGAATTTTTTTTACCTCCCTTCCTGTCATTTCTCCCTGCATAAATCATCGTTATTACTAAAAGGAGCAAAGTTTAGTATGACTTGATAGATCAGTGTATTCAGAAATTAGTCTTAAAATGCGGGGGAAAAAAAATCTTAAAACGTGCCACTTCCTAATGTTTGCAAGATTAAGGCAAGACTTTACAGTATGACAATTACCTACTAGCGTATTGCTGTACAGTATACTGTATGTCTGCATGCTTCTAGCTTTGTTTTGAGACACTCACTTTGGTCGTGGGTAGGATGACCTGTGTGCCTTTGCAGAGGCACAAGCTGGGCTTCACAAACCCTCTGCTGCAGCATCTGGAGTGTTCCGTGAATGGACCAAGTCCATGCTCGTTTTTTGCTGTGAAGATCATATATTGTCTTTAATTTTAGCAGATGTCAGAAGTGTGAAGTTTTAAAGTCTGCTAAAATTACTGGGTTCCTCTGTTACGAAATAGTTCCCTAATTAATGATTTTACTTTAATGGAAGGAAGCATTAATTCTCTATATTAATGGCTTTATATAATTTAATAATTTATGAAGTTCTTAGACCTAAAGAAAATGGCTTTCTATAGAGGCAGGATACACTTGACACTAAGTGTGTTTTATTGGTTACTATATTGTAGTCTTTAATCTCTACTTAGTTTTGTTTTATGACTCCTAAACTCTAAATGCATCCTTGAAACAAAATTTAAATACATTCAAAATGAATGCAAACTAATAAAAAGAAAGGTAATGGTGAGTAGCAGGTAACTGAGGTAAGTGTTTTAAGACCCATAGTTACAACGTAAATGGCAGGAATAGTTGTGAGAGTTTTTCAGGTAGGGGTTGTGTACAGCTATTTAGAATAATAATTGATAAAAAGAAATTAATATTTCTTTTTTGCTTGACACTGTCTGTTGTATTACCAAGTGCTGTTCTGATTGTTTTTACACAACTCCCCTTTAATGTGAAGAACGACTTTGAAAACTTGTACTGAAGGTTTGGACCTAGTGGCACAAGCCAGCACCAGAATACCATTGTTGTTTCCAAACTGAAAATACTTTTGTATCATATTAAGTCCTACAACTCTTTTCTTTAACCAAGTCTTCCTCTCATTATGCCCTAACGAATACCTCTAAAGTTGAGTGCCCGTAACTTTATTTTACTGAGCTGAGTATTCAAAAGAAAATGTTTCTGGTCTGTGAGTTTTAATGATGTTTTCAGGCACCAGTGGTGTTAATGATAAGTCACAATTCTGTGTGTAGGATCGGTACAGCAGTTACAGTTGCCATCGTAAACAGTAACAAAGTAAACAAAGTATAAACACAGTTTGTTATCTCTGTGATATATTTTATTGTGTGTGTTCAATTAGACTAACATGCAGTAATTTGAATGAGCTACATCTTAAAACATCAAAAATTCTACTTAACTTTCTTTTTTTTATACCAGCAAACTGCAGGAAACCAAACACAAGGTGCATTTGGGTGTAGTAACAGCCAGCTTCAAAGAGCAGATGTAGGACAGGAAACAAAGAAGCAGAGAAATAAGCGAACTCAGAGGACAGGAGAGAAAGCAGCTCCTCGGTCCAAGAAAAGAAAAAAAGAAGAAGAAGAAAAACAAGCCATTTACCCTAACGCTGATACATTCATCCAGTTAAAACAAGTGAGTATGTAGAGACTGGTTAGTGCATCAAGAGGGTACTTGAAAGAGTGGATCTCTTACGATGAGAATGAGGTTGATAGGTTGAATTTTGAGTGCAGGGTGGTAGAAAATACGTTTCCCAGTCTTCTGGAAGGTTTAAAGGTTTAGGTTTATTTCCGTTTGGAAGAAGTTCTGACTTGGCAGGCATTCAGTAGTCTCAAAGCTGTGGGAGTCCTTTCAGCTCTGGCAGCCTGCTTGCTTGAACTGACAGGGAGGCTGGAGCAGGGAGCTATGGCCCCACTGGACAGGGGACCAATTTCCCTAGCAGTCAGGATGCTCTCTGTGTTTGAGACAGTTTTCTGGTAGGGGGTAAATTTAGATTTTTTTTTTTTTTTTTCAATTAGAAACCACTCTTCTAATGTTTGTAGATCTGTGATGCATCTATTTTGTAGTTAAATTAATTTCTAACGTTTTTCTGTACTCTTAATACAGCAGCTTTCTCTTCTGCCTCTGATGGAACCGATAATTGGAGTGAGCTTTGCACACTTTCTTCCCTACGGCAGTGGCCAGCTAAATGGTGGAAATCGACTTGTAGGAAGTTTTGGTAGTGCAACTCTTGATGGGGCTTCAGATTACTACTCCCAGCTCATTTACAAGGTACAGTTTTAATCAAGATTTTCATTCCGCCCTCTCTATGAGAAAAGAAGATCCTGACATTATTACTGCTAGCTGGTTAGGATTCCTGCCTTTTGTGCAAGCACAAGAAAATGATTTTCTGTTGCTAGACTAGGTAGTCCTTGTTTTACTCTCTGGAAGTGGAAGTCAGTTCTTGTAAACAAACTAAAGTACAAGTATTCCATTTACAAACAGATACTAAATGGTGAAAATTGTAATCACAGTTTTATGGAGCAGAAAAGGCTTAATTCCTAGTACTTCACAAAGTCAGTGAAAGCACTAAAGCATCTCTTAATGTGAATTAAGTGGGAAGTAGACTTTACTCGTTTTGTCCACTAAGCCCTAACTAAAAACCTAAGAACTGTTAACAAAATAGTCTGTTTACTGTTGAGCTAATAACCCACAAAATTTAAAACTCAAGTCTCTGAGATCAGAAAGGCAGTTTTGGGAGAGTAGGAAGATAGTGAACAGACAGAATCATATTTGCAGCTTGGCTACCCTAATAAATTCAGTAACTGATTAGAAAATGAGTGTCGTTTACTTCAGCCTTATATGAGATAACTGAGAATCTGACCCAGCAGAAATAGTTGCTGGCCCAAAAGTGGAAAAGATGCATTAGCTTTGTAGGCACAACTGCAACAAGAGTAGATACTGAAACTATCCTTTAATTTTCTTTGGAAATATGGGCAGTCGAGCAAGCTAGCAAGGAACCTGGCGCGTGAACTTGCATTGTATCTGCTTCTCCATGGTAACTGTTTCAGTGAAAGCTCATCCTGTGGTCAGTGTGCGGTAGCTTCCCTTTTAGTGAGAAAGGGATCAGCTCACGCGTTTACTGGGACAGAGAATGGCTGTGGAAGAGCTCTCACATTCTTAAGTTCAGGCCTTTGCTTAAATTGTAGTTACTTGCTAGGGCTCCCAGACAGTTCCTAAAAATGCTATGCTTGTGTGTAAATAATTTAGCTATAGATTCTTTCAGCGATGTTTGCTGTTCATGTAAACTGTTTTTCCCAATTATCCCATTGATAATTGGGAAAACATCCCATTGATGTTTTTAAAAAAAAAAAAAAAAAAGGAATGCAGTATCTTTTAAAGCAGATATTTTCTTGTATTTCACCCCATGTTTGGGAATGAGTTTTCACTGTTCATCAGCTCTGCCTCTGGATATAAAAATACATGAGTGGGTTACCTTACCTAGTACTGGAACAATGCGAGTTTTCACTCTATTTCACAGCTAATTTATGGTTCTTTAATCTCTTGCAGCAGAACAATCTGAGTAATCCTCCGACACCCCCAGCCTCTCTTCCTCCCACTCCACCTCCTGTGGCATGCCAGAAGTTGGTAAACGGCTTTGCAACCACTGAGGAACTTGCTGGCAAGGCTGTTATGTTAGGAGGTCATGATGGTAAGCCTAATACTTAACTGTTTCCATAATACATGAGTCAGGTTTGTAGCAAATTACAAAACAGATAACAGGGCTGTTTTTCAGGTGATACAGTCTTCTTTTATAACAGCAGCATGCGTAGCCTCCTTTTTAAGGTTGTCATCGTTTTTATCCGGCTTTATTTTACACCAGTTTAAAGTCAAATGATAGTGTTCTCCCTCTCCAAAATATGTTGAGGTTATAAGCACTCTTAAGAAATGAAAACCTCAAAATTAAGTTATTTTGTCCAGTATAAATGAATACCCAGTTCGTTAAGCGAGCTCAGAAACGGTTTCTCGGAAATGTGTCCTCAGTAGGCTTTGTATGTCATCAGTATATATTTCTAATACTTGTAATTTTGTCAAATTAAAACCTGTTTTCTCTTAAAGAACATTTTATGCTGCTCTCTCTAGAGGACTGTTCTGTGATAAAATCCTTCTTTCCGACCCTTTCATTGGTTTTTATAAAGCGTTTTTTTTTTTGTTTTTTTTTAATTAAAACAAGAATACTCTCGTATAATGGGCGGAAAGTGCGCTCAAGAGCGACGTATATCTTTTTTGCTCAAAAATTGCAGGTTTTTGTGAATACAGAGATTAATCATAAACGGTCAAAAGTGTTTGAAGTACAAGTGAGTAAGTAGTGTTACCGTCTGCTGAAATGCCTTGGTTGCATCTGAAAGCCACCAGCCCCCTGTTACACGGAGCGTATATCAATAAGAAGAGTTGTACCTGTGTCTCATTGTGCTGTATTTCTCTGGTTTTAGTTACCAAAGCTCTGGGACCAAAGCAGTTCCAGTTGCCTTTCAGACCACAAGACGATTTATTAGTAAGAGCAATGGCTCAGGGCCCTAAAACTGTGGATGTTCCTGCTTCACTACCAACACCACCTCATAACAATCAGGAGGAATTAAGGTGGGTTTTCCCCCCCATCTTCAAATATTTCCTTGGAACAGATTCTATGCTCTTGCAGTAGGGGATGAGTCTGTGAAGGTGGGAAGAAATGAAATTCATTGTGCACAGCCACACAGTGCAGAGAACATAATGGGGTTATTTATCCTAATTAACTCTCAGCCTTCCACCTGTGGGACAGCAGTGTAGTGGAAAAGGTGACTTTCTGCCTTTGCTAGACACTATATCCTGACCAGTTGTCAAGAATTTATTATCTTGGTTTATTAAAAATGGAAGAAAACTATATAAATTGATCTTCCAGGAGCCAGCATGGTGATGACAGCATGCTGTGCAAATGTCACAGCGCCTACCTGATTCAGCCTTTGTTACATATGAGAAATGCTTGTTACGTATGAGGAAACATACGGATTTCCCTGCAAAGACCTTACCTTTTGTGTCCCTTTCACTTGGCTAACCAAAGCTTTGAAGCGCTGAAGCCTGTCTGTAGATGCGGGAGGATGGACCAGTGAATTTGACCACAGAAATAGATGTCTGCCCTATTGTGGATTTTGTGTGTGGCCTTGGACCATTCACGCAGTCTTGTCTACCTCAGCTTGTCTCATTTGAAGGAAGAATAATAGCACCTTCCCATCTCAGAAGAGTCTTTGAGAATGAATATAGAGTTAAAGTCTGTGAGGCGTTGGAATATGCTGATATGATAGAGATGGCTGTTTTAAATCCAGTAGGTGAAGGCTTGCTCAAAATGCCATGAATTTTGAACACGTTTAAAAACACAAGTTTGTACAATAATCCAAAGCAACTTTCCAATCTTCTGTATATCCTTCAGGCCTGGTGAAATGAATCCTCATTTTTGCATGAGGAGGTTAATCAGCTAATACTGGGACAGTGAGAGCAGAACAGTGACTTGACTTTTAACAGCAAATCTGTCTCAGATGCCCTTCTTCCCTTGGGAAGAACAGGGAGTGCATAATGGAGAATAAGAGAAACACCAATTGATAACTTTTAATCTTCTTTTTCAACAGATGAATAAGTGACTGTAACAGTAGTATAATAGCCTTAGATAGAAATATGCAGTACAAAGAGTTTAAGTATCAGTATGGTTTTTACAGAGATAGGTGGAGCTGTGGGAAACGGGCAGTTCTGTGAGGGAGCTTGGGCTTCATTAGTGCCTCCTTGCTTTTATGTGTCTTTTCCAAGAAACCACCTTGTGCACTGGAGCAGTAGACCTGCAGAAATGATGGCATACCACGTAACTGTGTTCCCTGACTAGTAGTAAGAAGCAAGTTCACGACAGATTTGTAACAGTCATGATTTATAACTTTGGCTTACCAAAGGTTTTTAGACCATTTCCAAAACAGTTGTTCCGGATTTTGTTCCAGGGTTCAAGATCACTGTGAGGACAGGGACACTCCTGACAGCTTTGTTCCTTCTTCCTCTCCTGAAAGCGTGGTGGGAATGGAAATAAGTAGGTATCCAGATTTGTCAGTCGTAAAGGAGGAGAACCCAGAACCTGTACCATCTCCCATCATTCCCATCCTACCCAGCAGTACTGGAAAAGGTGAGGCTGCAATAGCAGAAACAATTAAAACTAGACTTTTTTTTTTTTTTTTTTTTCCATTCCTACCCCTGTAGGATTAACCTCATGTGTATTTCATTTTATTTCCAGGTTCAGAAGCCAAAAGGAATTATATAAAATCAGAACCTGGTTCAGGAGCATTACCTGGTTCTGGCTTCTTTGCCTCTCAGCTCGGACCATCCCAGAATGGTCCTAAATCTGGCCTTATATCTGTAGCAATTACTTTACATCCCACAGCTGCTGAGGTAAAAGAAATAAGCTTGTATGTTATATGTATAAAATACAGCAGGACTTAATATGTTTTATAAGTAATAACTATTAGAATGGGCTGTCGAATAGTATAATAAAGCAGCTGTTGTAATTTGTAATAATTTATCTTACTGCTGTTTTACTGCCTGTCTGGTTAAAACCAAGGTGTTTTTATTATTGTTTTTAGAACATTAGTAATGTAGTAGCTGCATTCTCCAATCTGCTCCATGTCAGAATTCCTAACAGTTACGAGGTTAGTAACGCTCCAGATGTCCCATCCACCATGGGAGCGGCAAGCAGTCACAGGATGAACCCATCTATGGAGTACAGACAGCACTTGCTATTTCAGGGTCCTCAGGCAGGATCCCTGGGATCTGCTAGGCTTGTAGGGTCGTACGGACTAAAGCAACCTAATGTGCCATTTCCTGCAAACAGCAATGGTGAGTAGGCATTAGTTCTTTGCCGTTTTCAGCACTGACCTTTTAGTTGAGTCAGTGTTGAAACTTTTTCAGCCGTATAAATTCACACTCTAGATCTAAGCATTTGATTCTTGTTTTAAGTAATACTTATGTGATCGGTGCCTGTGGACCTGCTCCTGATGTTAATCATAACTTAACGGAAATCAGAGATGGATCAGACCTATTATATTGTTCATCTCATTGCCAGTTAGGTGTTTCTTGCGGTAATATATAGTGGTGTTAAGTTTTCTGTCAAGTCTGATTCTAAATCCATCATTCTGGGAGATTGTTCCTATGCTAGAAAATTTGACGTATTCCTGTGTTACCTTCATTACTCATTTCACATACGAGAATGTATTTTTGCCTTGAATTTGGCATATTTGGCTTAGGTCTGCTTTAAACAATTTCCCTGTTAGGACATGATTTAAAGCTTGCCTGCCGTGCCCTATCCCAGAGGATGCTAGTCCTCTAAACCGCTGAATGATATTGTGACTCCGGCATAAATTTGATTTAGTCTGATATGGCTTCTTGCAAACTTACCTGTTTTCTAGGTATAGGTGGCTATAAGGATCACAGTCAAAATATTGCAGAAAGCTCAGCATTGAGACCTCGATGGTGCTCTCATTGCAAAGTGGTGGTTCTTGGTAGTGGCGTGCGGAAATCCTTCAAAGACCTGCCTTTCCTTAAACAGGTACTGCAATAGAAATTTAGTTTCTTACACGCAGTGGTCAATGAGCAAATGAAAGCGGCAAAGGTTGCTGCTTATTATGCTAACTGATACCGTTTTCCTGGTTTCTCCATATTCTCACCTCTAAGTGTGTGCTAATTCAAGATAGGACTTTCAAGCACGTTTGTAGTACAAATAAGAAATGTCAAAGGTGTCCCTTGTGTAAAATATATTTCAGTAAATTTCCTCAAATAGGTTACCTATAAATGACACCTTTCTAAATGCTTCCGCTACCATCATCCTTCCATAACCACTTCAGTTTAAGAACTCAGCAAGAGTCTATTTGTAAGGCATTTTGCCATTCTCCATTTTGCCTTTTCAAAAAGTAATAAAGAGCAAGG